TTTGATTGTTTTGTAAATTTACTGTAGATTATATAGAAATATTTAAAACAACGTAAGTTAAAAAGGGCTGAAATAGAGTTTAAATTAAACTGGATTAGTTGGAATTTATAAATTTGTAGTAATCTATTTGAAATAACACTAATATACTAACTATAAGTTTTTAAAACTTAATTTAAAACTTATTTATTTTATTAAATAAAACTATTAAATTAACTATTAAGTCTTTGAAATATTTTTTATAGAAAATCTTAACTAATAATTCATAAGGGGATATATTTGTGCAAGGTTTTTAATCTCTGATATCAGATTCATTTGAAACGTATTTTGATTGACACAACATTTAATGCCTGGAAATAGTATTTGTTAATAATATTAAATATTGCAATTTTGCAAATAATATTTCCGTTAAATATCGAGACAGAGAAAGACAATCATTACTATAAATATGATATTTTATGTTTATTTGAATATTAATGAGGAGTTGAACTAATATTTATTTATTCAATGATCGTTTGTTTGCTAAACAATTACCGGATCAGTTTTCGTTTATTTGATATCTAACACAAAATAGTTTATAAAATGTATGCAATATTTGTGACAAAAATTTTAATATTTAAAAACAGTATGAATTGTATTTTATATTATTTTATTAATAAATTGTTCAAATGAAGAATAAATATAAAAGTTTTAATTGAATGTCATTTAGAATTATATAACGTTTGGTCAAAAGAGAGCACTTTAGATGTCTGTAGTGTTTATACAATTGTTCCTATGATCACAATATAATCATTTCTATGAAGTTCATATTAATAGTTTAGTTCATTTTAAACTTATTTCCTTAAATACTGTATCACCTAGATACTAAATACCTTAGATGTACTACTTTATCAATTCTTATAATTCATAGATTTGCACATATTATCAAATGTGGGACTGATTTGGATAAATTCCAATACAATGTATTGAATTTGTAATTGTTATCTGCGTTTACTATTAATAGAAGTATTGTTTGTTTTAAAATCATTTTAGAGTAACATGAAGTGATAATACAGTAATATAAACAGGCTAGTTTAATATTGATAATATAATAATATAATTATCAAATCAATTAATGTGTTTATTATTAAATAGATAGTGATTTTATAAGAATCGTTGAACTTTTATATTGACTTTTATATACTCGACTATAACTTCAAATAAACAAAATGTGATTTAATGGGCCATTGATAGCACATTTGGTTATAAAAAGCAAACTAAACATAAAAATAAAATTAGTATTTAAATAGTAAACCGATAGTTAATCGCTAAATAATTGTAAATTTGGCGATTCATTGATAAAAAGGGATGCATTTAAATGGCATTTAAGGTAACGTTACGTCATTTGTGAAGACATAGGATTGAGAGGTAAGGGATGCGCCGAAAGGGCTGTCCATTCAATTGCATTGCAAAAGCCTTTCTGAACGTTATTTTCATAGCCTTTGCAAAAGCAATGCAAATGTAAACACAGTTTCACTGTTTTGTTGATTCAGTTGACGTCTAATTGTTTTATTGAGTTTAATAACAGTTTATCATTGCTTTCGTTACAACCATACAGTCATTGAGTTATTTATGAAATCATTTTCAATCAACTGTTCATGAGTTTATTGTATATAATACTGGAGTTTGGTTTACATTACAAAAGGTTTGGTTTTTTTTAATTTAAATTTATTTATGTTTGCCTTTAATATAGCATACGATTAGTTAGTTTGTGTTATATCTCATATGCAATATATTGTATCAAAATGTGTTTAAAACTGTTATCTAATCGTGTAGTTCAAGATAAATGTTTATAAATGTATATAAATTTAAATATTTTACAATTTTTCAAAACCGTTGATTCAATTGTGCACTTAATTATGAGTTTGCATTCAGTTTTGAGTTAATTTTATATGACTTTACAATTAATGTATAAATGCATTGAATTGTCGCAAAACTATTTGCAATATACCTATCATTCAAATCAATCATTGCTTTCAAAGTCATTGCATTTCGTAATGAATATCATTTTCACATTTATTTTCACTATTTGTTTAAAATGTCTTTTTTCAGGATTAATATAAAAATTTTCACACTTTTCTAATCAATAATAAACTGATTAATTGGTTTCAATACTTTGTACACTAATCCCCACATAAAACATGAATTTTGTAGAGATTTTCTCGTTTGTAATATATTTTAATATTTTATTTGTTTTTTACGTTTAAATTATATATTACTTTAATTGCAAAATTAATTATATTTCTTGACTTATATTAATAGCTAAACTTAAGAGTAATATTATATAATAAATGGTTGGCAAACGAGACTTAATAATAATTTTTCTTATTATTGTTTATTCAAATAATAAACTTTTTATTTAAAATTCAAATGTGTTTTTCGCCCACTTTTCGCAACACTTTTCAATCCAAAAAGTATTAAAACTTTTTCTCTAATCTCTCGATAAATAAATGTTTTGTTTTGAAAACCTTATTATGAATTCAAATTGAATTCATTTTCGCCCACAAATTGGCTCTCAATTCGTGCCATGAGTTTCATATCAAATGTATTTCACATTTAGTTTTTAATTATTATTTTTATGATTATATTTAGATTTTGTGATAAATTCCGGTTTCTATACTAAAATGAGTCGATACTGTAATTGTAGTGAATTTTGTTTGTGATGTTTCATATTATAACTTATTTAAAATTTAAATCTAATTTAACAATATATTAATTGCTGAATATATTTAAATAATTTAATTCAAGTCTTAACGACTTAATAGACTTTACGACTAATCAATGGCTCAATCACTACAAGTGTTTGCAATCAATTAATAAGGATTTGCTTGTTTTTCATTGATAAGTGCTTTCAAACAAAATTGACAAGGATATTTTCAAAAGTTATTTTAATGACAAACTTAATAAATATTTTATTTTAGGCATTTTTATTTTATTTTAGTACCTTTTGACAAAATATTCACTAAAAGGTAATAATATCATACTGTACACTATAATAATTTTATAATTGCATTGAATTTCAGTTGAATGTGTGTTTGTAATCATTTTTTATATTTATTACCTCCAAATATATTTAGCCTAAAATTACTGATTAGTTGTGATTATAAAATAAAACCAAATTTTTGTGATAAGACATGGAATCTGAAGCGACAGAAAAAACTCGTTTTCGTTATATTTAGATAAAAACGTTAATTCAAATGAAATCACAGAAATTTAAGACACATTTGATATTTGATAAAAAGTGTTAAAAGTTCACAATTGATATAAATTTGGAGATGAAATAACTTTTTAAATGTCATAGAAAAGTATTTAACTTTTATTATGAAACATTAATATAAGGAACTATTAACGCATTTGTTTTTAATGTTATTTTCGTACGAAATGTACTTATATTTTGTTATAATTTATGAGCACTTGTGGTCTAAAGACCCCACAAATGACTCCAATATTCAGAGATTTCTTATTGTTTGGTAAAGCCTTTTGAGTTAAGTTTTTGCCATAATATATGAGTTTATAGTTTTGTTTCTTAAACCACAAGTGCTAATAAAATGCAACAAAAATAACTTCAATTCAAATATAAACCACTTTTTGAAAGAGCAATAGAATAGGGTTGACCCCAATTAGGATCCCAATCCCCAGTCTATCCAAACCGTATACTTTAATTACAGATGTGATTGTGAATGAACACTACAATAAACCTTTGGTTTTATTTATAACTTTTTCCATATTTTGATTGTGTTTTCGCTTTTGTTTGAGCCTTCATTTGAATTCAACGCATGCCTTACAATGTATTAAAATAGCGATGCGTTTAAAAACACCGGTTTTTGGGCTCTAATCAGATTTATATGATATGTTATATAACTTTATAAATACAGTACAGGTATTCGGCAAAGAATGCTAATTATAAGTATTGGTGAACAAAATGTTTATACCGTATCCAAAAGTTTTGAGGCAATAGTGAGTGAGTGAGTGAGTGAGTGAGAGAGAGAGAGAGAGAGACTCACTCTCAGCTCAATACTATTAAAAACGAGAAAAAGTTTTGTTTTATTTAAAGTCCGTTGCGTTGAGTCACACCTGAGCGAGCATTTGATTGACTATATTTGCAATTTTTTTTTATTTTACTTATTTGTCAGACACATCGCATTCAATGCAATCAATTACTAACATATATTTGCTTTGCGAGTGAAGGACGTTTACTTTTACTACCTTTTTATGTAGTGTTTTGTGTGTTTATGAAGTCATCCCATGATATAATAAATATTTTTTATATTTCTCTAGATTTTCAACAGTTTTTATTTGGCTATAAGTTATATAACTCTCGGGAACACCTAATAAAGTGAGTGGAAATGCCGGGAACCTGTGGTCGCTGTCAGAAGACTGTCTACTTTAATGAGGAAAAGATGGCAATCGGCAAAAGTTTTCATGTCATGTGCTTTGTTTGCGGTCAGCATTTGTTTTAGATTTTTATAATTACTTTTGTTTTAATTGAATTGTTTTCTCGTATGCATTATATTTTTTATCTCTAGTTTTTACTATACTCGCAATTTTTGCTCAATTGTGTTGTGGTTTCCACTCTCTTTCTATTGTATAAAATGAAAATTATTTTTATTATATTTTTTCTCTTTCATTAACTTATCGTAAATTCTTGAGATGTTTAGGATTTCCTTTTAAAAGATGATTAGATTTTAGTTTGTGTTTCATTTACTTATTCAACACAACGACTGCAAAATACATGAATAGTTGAGCGATAAGTGTTTAGCGATAAAAATTGTTGGCAAATGTGTTTTTTGTGGTTAAATGAGTGAATAATGTGTTGTTTTTATGTAAATAAATGTGTTTTCATAGATTTCGTAATATTTATGACGTTTGGCGTAACTTTTGTTTACAGCAAACAAGTCGTGTAACCGTCGGCTAGACAGTGGAAACCTGACTGAACACGACGGAGATATCTATTGCCGATCCTGTTATGGAAAGCTATTTGGACCCAAAGGGTATGTCTGTGTGTTGTGTAACGCCGGCCCTTAAACTTGAAATCCATTAAAAGTTCAACAAAACAAACATAAAAAAGAAAAATGTTTTGATAAGTTTTTTCGCGTTTAAATCACTCATATATTTCACTCGTAAACACAGCTACGGTTACGGTCAGGGGGCGGGCACTCTGTCGATGGATACGGGAGATAACAAGAACGGCCCGCCCACCAGCAACATCCCGGCCACCGCTCAGGCGTTCATAGCGCCTAAGAGAGGACCGCCGTCACCGCAGCCGCAAACTAATGGCGCAAACAAACCGGTGTTTGGCGGCGCAGAGATGTGCCCGCGTTGTGGCAAAGGTTTGCTCCCAACAAACCATTCAAGTTATGTAATACTTATTAAATAATTGCCATTTAATAGCCGTTTATATGGCCGAGAAGATGATGGGCGGCGGTTCGGTAAGTCTTTGTCCACATGTGTTGCTATGAGTGCCACAAAAGCACTCGAAAACACTTTTTCTGTTTTAGCATATCTTCTAAATTAAAGTTTTATTTACTTTTGATGTGAATATTATTTGAAGGCTTGGCATAAGAGTACATGTTTTACATGTAAGGAGTGTCGTAAACGACTCGAATCGACCACTCTTTGCGAACGCGAGGGAGAGATATATTGCAAAAGTATTGCCATTTATTTAGCATTTTTTAAATATTCACATCTGTTTGTTTGCAACGATTTTAACGATATTTTTTCTGATGGACAGCCTGTTATGGGAAAATGTATGGACCCAAAGGTTATGGCTTCGGAGGCGGGGCTGGAGTTCTGCAGAATTTTGTCGAATAAAGCCATGAATTGATTCCCCATTCATATCAACACTTACTGTTAATTCCGACGAAGAATTCCAACAACTCTATAGATAATTGATTCCCAATTGTGTGCCAATGTGTGCACCCATTCCTCTATTCATATTAGATATGAATTCCTCTATTCATATTAGTATGAGTTAACCAATAATTCGTTGGATATATTCTGAACACACAAATTGCACTAAAAAACTATTTGATTTAAATTAATGACTATATTTCAAATATCTTAATATTATAATTAAGATTCTATGGAGTAGTTTAACATTGAAAATCAACTCATTATTAATAATTTATTATAATTATTGGTAATTAATAGAAATTATCGCACAATCCATGCATTGATCTATAAGTACCGTACATTTGATGAAACCTTAAACTTATTTTTATATTAATTACATTTATTATTTTTGGCTAAGATTAATATTAAGTATTTTTTGAATTCAAGTTAATTGAATATTAAACCTATTTTTCTCTTGTTATTAAAACCCATTATATTTTTGACTAAAAATTGTTAAATTATATACAATATTAACGTTCTGTAAGAGTCTATTTTCACTTAAATCATGTTAATTAACAAATGTATTTCCATATATTAATTATTGTATAATTATAGTTAACTTAAGGCTGAATTTGGGACTAATCGAGTATAACATAACAACAGTTTATGTTTTATGTATATTTCGTGCATTCATTTCCAATTAATTCTAATCATATAATTGATGTTCATTTTTATTTATGCAAATGTTGTGTATTTTTCAAGTTTTACTCTTTTTCTTAACTGCACTCAAAAATGCTGACTGTTTGTCATTTTTACGGATAAAGTCTTTATTTTCTTTTTTTGTAAAACTTCCTTAATATTTGTTTTTATATAATTTGCCAAAATATTCCTCATAATTGAATTTAATTATGAAATTATTTTCCAATTAAATTTGTATTTTTTAAGTTACTTTAATTATGTTATTTCAAAACATTAATAAACAAATGATTGTATTCATGAGATTGCAATTAATAAGACATGTTTAAAGCTATTCATTAATTGCGAAACGAATTGATAATTGTTTTAATGAATATTCATGATATATCATGAATTCTATGATTGAAACACTTGTTATTATTATGATATTATAACTTATAATGAATTATTTTGTGAAATAAATTAGTAAAGGTTGTTTCTCAAGAAAATTGTTAAAATTTAGAAATTTGAAAGTTATATAGAGATTGTAATGCAATTTAAAGCGAAACTAAAATAAACATAGAGTACAATCTGTTTGACACATGTCCTAAAATTTGAACGGTTCCGACCATCAAATCATTGCGTGTGAAATCAACTCAATGAGTAGGTTCAGAAATTTACTTCTTAAGTTGGATCCGTTAATGTGGCTAACGATGAAGTATGACTTCACGTGAAATACAAAACAAATGTTTAATAATCTTTGTCTCAATAGTGTGCTATCGACCGCGTATACTATCTATTGGTTTGTTCACCTGCAGCCATACCTATCAGTACTATTCCGGTATTAACATCACCTCCTGATACTACACCTGTGATTACATCGCAGATCATCAGCCAATCACCACCGAGTGCTTCCATAGCCCCAATAACTACCATTACTGATTTTAGTACATCAGATTCTCCAGTGATAACCACTGTATCAAACCCTTTACCACCAGTGATGACCACCACTCAGACACCAACCACACCATTGGGTGCTAATCCAGACACACATCCCGATAAGAAGTTTCCAGTGCTTCCCATTGTGGTCATCCTTATTATCATATTCTTGATATTAGCTGTTATTCTAATCACACTATTTGTTTCTATGTCCAGAAACAAAGGTATAATAAGTAGAAAAAATAATTTCTTTATCTAATGATAAGAATATTCTGTGCTTTTTTACATAAAGGCAATGGAAAGGGAATTACATTGAAAACTAGTAGTGATTCACAACGATTCCTAATATTATACAACATTATTAGATATTTATTACCAAATATTTAGTTGTATTACACGTTTTTGAAGCTCAAAATTTGCATACAAAGTGTTTTATGATTTCATTTCAATGGTTTTAATTAAAATATTCAATGTTTTCATAGTGTGTTTGCAGAGATTTCATTTTTAAAATATCTTAAATATAATTCAAAAGTTTATTGATTTAACTACTAATTAATTAATCATTCCTATAATAATAAAGTGCATCGAAATATAGTTATAAAAGTAAATGAATACAAAGAATTTATGCATTTTGAATACAAACAAGATTTAAATATATCTCATAAAAGGTGTGAATATATCATTGGTTTGAATGAATGAGTGGTAAATAAAAGTCAGATTTGTCTTCAATCCAGGGATGGGTTAGGATTCCGAACGGATCCAATCGGTCCTTAGGTTCGGGTGTTAAGAGTTGTGTCAACAGATCGGCTGCCATTGGGTCGATGTGTTTGGGAAGAGTGTAGAGACGGCTCTTCTGGTTCTCTAACATCACTGACAGGTTTG